TTGCTCGTTACTCCTCCTCCATCTTCGATCGTTCAAACACCGAAACAAACGAAACGAAGGCTCCAACGTCGCCTCGGCTAGCGGTTAACGCCATTAACAGAAGTGGAGAGGAAGTAGCCGGTTGAAACGCTTATCCCGCGATTTCGTTGTTTAACTTCGCCGTAACCGAGCTGCTGCCGTGGCAGGGTAGCTAGCTCTGTTTGCTCGCGAGGAATCGAAGGAAGGAATGCAAAGCGGCCGTGCGAGAATCGTCTCATGCGGATCCGGTTGCAACAACGTTTCGCTTTCCATACGGCGTCCGCCGCAAACAGATAAGCCGTCCGTGCAGAGGAAAAAACAAGCGACAGGGTTGCAAAGGAAACGCGACCGGCCGAATGAGCAATATTTCTTCGAATCAGACAGCCGGTTCGCGTTCGATACGCGAAATACTTGCGGGACAAGATGCTGATCGCGCGAAAACAGCCGCGAGACACCGAGGTCAGCGGCTTTTGTAAATCGAATACCCTTTGCTCAGCAACCTGGCTACTCGGTATCGTGATATCCTCTCGTCGGGAATCCTCTGCGATCGATATCAGAACAGGTGGCACTTTGTATCACTTCGTCGTGTATTGTCTCTTCTCTCGAGATATTTCCTATTACAATTTCCCGGTGCACCACTTGTGTGTGACAAAGAAAAGTACGCGTATACCTCGCTTCAAGAGTAAATTGTGTATCACAGGATGAGCCACGCAATCGAATAATTCTCTATTCTAAATTGTCGTTGTAATTCTTCTTTGGTAAGGATATATTAGAACATACGTTACTCGAGGTTTGGATGCGGTGAAAAATTGTGCAAGAAGTGATTGCTCTCCTTGGGGAGTTAATTGCTCTTCGTATCATTGTGAAATTGCTCGATGGGATCGGTCACGCGATGGGACGGTTTGCAATTTTCTTTCCGAGTTTCTAAACGAATTTGCACGGTGTGTGTAAGAAAGATTATTTTGTTAACTTCTTGTTTGCGGGAATTACACCCTTTTAATCATTTACATCTCGAACTTTTGCGTGTAATTTGCTTTTTTTTTTGACCGATGCTAAAATAAATACTATCCGGTGGTAGTGTAACGTTCCTCGATTAATCTTCTTACGACTTGATTTACTCCTTACATACAATGCCGGAAAGAAGCAATTGCAATTTCACGGTTCTTAATGAGGCATATGCTTAATTAAGGATACATCTATCACGTACGAAGGATGATGGTGCAACAAGCGCGCGCACACAAAGTCGATTTACGACAAATGAACTGTGAATCATTCCAATTACGCGGTTAACCTGTACATTTCACGGTGTTACAAGGATCTCGAATCTTGAAGGCGTGTTTAACATTAGCAGCGAGTGTTTGTTTATAACCCAGTGATATTGCAGGAAACCGAGGGATACGAAGAAATCGTACGGCTAATTCTCCCCGTTAGAAAGTTAATTACCTTCGACATACATCTGTAATATCTACATATACAAAATTTACCGTTCAACCATCTCCTCGCGAGGCGAACGCACTAATACCTGATATCTCGCTCGAGAAAAAAAACAAAAGAAGAAAAGAAAAACCCCACGTTACAACACAACAGTTCACTGAAATATTAGTTAATATTTATGACAGTTAAAAGAAAATATTCGTGTTTGTTTCGTTAAACAGAATCGTTATTATTCAGTAAAATTTACATCAATTGAATGCTTAAAAACAATACAACATATTTCTTATGTCCTTCGTGAAAAGGATTCTATTACATTCATTGTGTTACTTAAAAGAGATGCGCTTAATTGTATAATAAGTCAACACTTGGATGGTATAGGGTACCCAATATACATATGCTTTTGTGGCACGCTGTACACGAACGTTAAATTACCCCCGAACGTCTTCATCGGTGTTTAGCGACTGTCACATAAATTCCACGTGAATGACAAAGGCACACGCATACCCATTGAAAAGGGTCAAAGGTACGACTTACCTCCGTTGTGCTTCAAGTCATCGGGCTGACCCCGATGAAGGTCCGGTTTGGTCAACATCGAGAGCGGATGAGCAGCTGCGCCTCCAGCGGTGGCCGCAGCGCCCGGCGGAATACCTAATCCGAGAAGAGCCGCAGAAGCTGACGTAGGAACAGGAAGCCCCGCGCCGGGACCAAGTCCAGGAAGCCCGGGTATACCTGGATGAGGACCCATCGCGGCACTTGGCGGTAACTGCTGGGCGTGCACCTGCTGGAGCAACCTGGGCAGGTCTGGCCTTTGTTGCTGCAACGGAACAAAAAAGAAAAAAAAAACGATCGCTTTTATCACCTCGGAAAGTATCTCCCTCCTCTCTCGGGCGCGCGTTATTTTTAGGGGATAAAGAAGTCAACGTGAAATGAATTTTCTTTTCCGGCCGAACTTCTACGAATTCTTAATCGAGGCTTCCGGGTTTGAGCCGGGCGTTGGAACAGAAAAACTATCGGAACGATTCGAAAATTTGCGGGAATTTTTGGTCGTTTAGTTTTGATATAGGTGTTTCTGTGATTTGCAGGGTTCTTATTTCGATTTGATGTGAAAAATAGGCGAAATTTGGGAATTTTGGGGCGATTGTTAAATGAAAATTTTCTATTTTTACAGGGTGCTAGACTTTTAGTACCTTTGAAAAATTAATATTCTGTGTTTTTAAATATATCGAGTGTACGCTTTTAAGGTGCTGAAGTGCGAAGCAGAATATTTGGAAAAAAATTCGTGAAACACCGGTGCGAGATTCGTTGCAAAGGCAAGTTTTTCGTGTTCCATACGCGATTACAGCTACTTGACAGGTATGCCGAGATTCCCAGATAACTCGAATCACCAGCAAACCAATCTAAACAACCGATAACACGTCGTTTAGATACGTACCGCGATTAGATTAAACGTGAAATGACATCATTGGACAATGTTGAAACACGCCTTCGCAAAGCCGTCTTTATCAATCGGGAATCATGAAACAAACAGTATTCGCGAATTCCTTGATAACAGAAATACCAATTTAATCCTCGCGGTTAAAGTACGTTCCCATTCTTTCTACACCGATCTCCTCCCCCGTCCATTACACAACGAGAATCGATATAAACGTTTCCACCCTTGAACGAATAAAAACTGGAAGAAAAAGAAGTAGTAGAAAAAACGAGCAGTCATCGATCGTAATTGAATTTTCTTCGCTCATTCTCGGAGCGCACAGAGCGAGAGGGTCACCACCCCCGGTTTCTATCCGTTTCGTGCGGCATTCGTTACGCGGGACAGAACTTTCCACGGGCAGAGCATACAAATCACGGAGGCAAACTTGCACGGGTCGCGTTTAAATAACCCTCGGTTCTCCCTTCGCCGACGAGAGGTGGGGAACCATGGTAAATCCGAAAGTACGAAACAAGTGGTGAGGAGAGACTTGTGCAGCCCTTTCAACGAGCAGTGCCTGTGCACGACGAAGGAGGCGAGTATATACAGAGAAGAGGAGAAAAGTTTCGACGGAACCATAAACGTACACCCTCCGCGCCGGTAGTTTCCTCGTTAGTTGGCCCCGAACTGGGCTGGTGTCGGTCGAGTTTCAGCTGCCAGACAAATTGTAGAGCCGCGCCGCGCGGCATGGAGCGTTTTAACGCTCGGTAGATCATGCCGCTGGAGCAACGAGGGGAAAAGTTTCGAAGGTGGAGAAGAGAGAAACGTCGAAGAAAGAAGAGAAGAAGAAGATGGAAACGAGAGAGAGGGGAGAAGTTTCGCCGGAAGACGAAACAGGGAAGGGTGTACACCGCCATCATCCCTCTTGCACAGTCGTGTACACTCGTTAAGGCAAGGCCGAATATTCCCGGGGAGTAGTTTGCCGAGATAATTAAATGGTTTAACGATATAATAACCTCGCGTCGACCGACTGTCTCAGACACCCACAAAACACACAAACAGAGTGAGAGTGAGAGAGAAGATGTGTATGCCGGAATGAAATGTGTTTTGGATGAAAGAGTGAGCGAGTGAGGGAGAGAAGATAGGGGAGGTGGTTGTTGGAAGGGTGGAGGAGAAGGCGTCGGGGCGAAACGTTTCCAGAGGATTCAGCCAGACTGTGGAAACCCCCTAAGAAACCTCCCGAGCTTCCTCCTCCACCACCGGTAACGATAATAATCCTGACCTCAGGCTGTCGTGCCAGTATTCGCGGCATCGCAGGCGTCTTGGTCCATTCACGTTGCGAAGATCATTTCCGTATTTGTGGCGGAATTCCGCTAATGATTACGACGAACTTTACTCCGTACAGTTGCATATATTTCATCCCTCTTCCATAGAACGGTGGAGTGGGTTTCTCTCGCTTGTATGTTAGTTTCGAGTGATGCAAATTTACGGAGTGCGCGGAGGTTCGTATTGAAAGTTTGGCTTTGTACGACTGGAACAACTTTCTATTTTTCTTATCGATAAGAAGAAGAACAGCGAAACGAAAGGTTCAAAATATCGAATACGGAGTTTGTCGGCGTGTGCTTTGAATTTGAATCTAATCGAAATTCAAGTCATTCATTTTCCGTGGATTGATTAGAAAAAGAACGAAGAGAAACGATCGACTTTCTATAAATCTAATTGTACAAAATTTATCATCGTATTGCCAGAAAATTCGGCCTCCTCCTTCCACTCGCGTCTCCGAGAACGTTTATTCGTTTAGCACAATTTACGCGTACGAAATTTGTCGGAAAAATTCCGAGCATCCGGTAAACTTCTGTTGAACGCAAAAGAAAAAAAAGAGGAATTCTCCGTGTTCAAAGAAACAGTTTAACGAAAAATTATCGCGCGTTTACCAGCAATCTCGGGCCCGAAGCCAATTTAGCAAAGAGCGCGGGACGAAGAGAGGGAGAGAGAGAGTTAAGTCTGTAAAAGCGGAGTTATTTCAATCTGAAATTTTTGCGCTCCGAACCAGGAGGGTCTTCTTTTGTGAGTGGCGGCAAAGAGGAAGTCATTACGAACCCCTTCATCTTCGCGCGAGCCTTCTTACGGCACCTGCATCCGCCGACAGCGGCGGCGGCGGCGCAGAGGCTTGTTCTCAGCAGTTTTCACCGGTGTCGCTACTTGCTGACTCAACCAGCCGTGAAGATAGTGCCGCTAAAAGATCCGACGAGATCGTCTTAACCTTCTTCTATATCACACGTCGTTGACGCTTGAAAAGCGTCTTCGGCCAGCAGCCGTTCCCCTCCTCTACGAGATTATGAACGTCAGCATCATCATCGCCCTGGCGCGCTTCGATTCACCTCGAAAACTCGTACACGCCTCGTAAAACTTTATAAATAGACGCTTTCATTTCACTACGTAGTAGGTCGACGTGATACAATTTTGAAAATGTGGGAAAACACACGCGGCCGGTTTATATTCCCCGTTTATACGTGGACAATTGAAAGATTCGATCCCGAGATGGTAACTTGGGAAAGATATCGATCTTTCGACGATGAGTCGCCGCCAATCTTCGATAACGATGTTTCTATGCGTAAATACGACGACGTGATGTACAGTGGACGAGGATCGATCGAGAGGCGGATAGGTTTTATGGCTGATAAAAGCGACAGAAAGTTGTCAGAACGGGGATAAGGATCTTCCTTGCTTCACCGGCCAAATAATCGTTCCGTATGATTTCGATGAAGCTTGATAAAACGTTGACATGCTTGTTAAGTACGCGGGCTGTATCAAATATGAATGATCGAACTCTCGAGTGCGCATTTTTGGGAATGGAAATTAACGAAGAAACAATTTGAAAAACTGTTAAAAACACTTGGTACATCAGAACCATTCCTGCGAACCAAATCCCCGCCTACAATAGATCAATCCCGGCAAAAAAAAAAAACCCCATCGTCTTCTTCATCTCTCCCGAGAATACGTTCTACACCGAACAATTTCGCCGTCTCTTTTCAAAGTCATTCGCACGCGAGAAAGCGAGCGAGCGAGCGAATTCCGCGAGGCGTTCCACGCTGTTTTTCCCTCGATCCCGTAACAACCCGAAGGATTCGAGGAAGCACCCTGGTTACGAGACGAAGAGTTACCTGTGCGCGTACAGCAAAAACGATAGAGAAGAGACGAGGGAAGAAGAAACTCTACTATCTCCAGTAGGATAAGAAGAAGACGAACAAGACGGTGGAGGCAAAAAGAAAATAAAGAACCAAATGGAGGGAGGGTGGGAGGTAGGTAGAGGTAAGAGAGGAGGGAGAAAGCTAGAGAGGTAGTAGTAGCAGAGAAGCGATTTAAAGCGCGCGGAATCCGGGGATTCTGCTAAGGATTTGCCGCACGTAGCCCGACAACGCCGCGGATCCGTGGAAGTTTCTATGGTCGGAAGGGGGGGTGGAGGGTTTGAGAAGAGGAGCAGCACAGCGAGTAAGCGGAAGGAGAGAGGATCGACGAGGGTGAAATCGTGGGGGATGGGTTGGTGGCGGTGGCCGACAGGACGGCGGAAGGGGGAGGGGGAGAGGATAGTCGAAGGC